TGAATTCCTTACAGACATGGAAGCACTTTTGTCATGTTAATTTCCTCCAATAAATCCTCAGTATAAGCCAAAGGTATAAGGTTTAAGTGTCATTAAGTGAAGGTGTTTTCAGAGTGGTTTCAGTGAAATTAGTTTCAGTGTAGCTCAGAACTCTAGTAGGTTTCTGGCATTTTAAAACACAATCTGAGGCTCTGTATATTTGGTACTTAACCTTTGTGGAGGCCAGTATGTCTCTTAGAATGTATTACTTGACTGTCAATTGTCTCAGGTGGGCTTTTTGAAAGCCATTTAGGAGTTTGGATAGAATCAGTGAAAAGATGAAATTTTGTCTCTAAGATACTGTCTTCGGGTAAAAAACCCACATACCTTTCACATCTTTGATAAGTCAACAACATTTCTTTAATACTTTGTGTGATTCATGTTCTTTTGTTTAATCAAAATAGTTATGAATTCAGACAAAGTGCTATTCATTCAGCTACAGGTACTTCTTGATTTTTTTTTTTTTTAAGATTTTATTTATTTATTTGAGAGAGAGAGAGAATGAGAGATGGAAAGCACGAGAGGGAAGAGGGTCAGAGGGAGAAGCAGACTCCCCGCTGAGCAGGAAGCCTGATGCGGGACTCGATCCCGGGACTCCAGGATCATGACCCGAGCCGAAGGCAGTCGCTTAACCAACTGAGCCACTCAGGCGCCCCCTCTTGATTCTTGAAAAAAAAAAGTCTATCTGTGTGTACGTATATTTATATTTACATTTAATCATTTAACACTTGCCTAGTTAACCTGGTGTTCTTTTCTCTGGTCTTTTGCTTCAAACTCTACTGTTACTTTAGGCTTACAGTGACATGAGAAGCATGAGTGATCTGAGGTAGCCTACTTGCCTTGATTTTTTTTTTTTTAAGATTTCAGTTATTTTTAGAGCAGTTTTTTGTTCACAATAAGGTTGAGAAACAGATACAGAGATTTCCTGCTCCCCACACATGCATAGCCTGTCCCATTACCAAATCTCTCACCAGAGCAGTCCATGTACTACAGTTGATCAACCTACAGAGACACATAATCACACAAAGCCTGTAGTTTACATTAGGGTCCAAAAGACTTGGACAAAGCCTCCTTGATTTTTGATGATTGATCCATCCTCCTGATAGGGGGCATGGAAACTAAAAGGTTAAAACTGAAAAGATATCCCAGAAATATGGAAAAGGGAAAAATTGATAAAAGAACTTGATTTTAAGAGAAGATAGCTTCGTGGTATCAATTCAAATAAAAGAAGTTATACCTAATAAATTAAATTATGAGCAGCTAATTCAGATGCATACCCCAGTGTTGAACTATCAAAAATTAGGAAAATCACCTTCCCACGGACTTAAGTTTTCTAATCTGTAGTTGAGAAAGATAGCATTTGTATTTGTTCTACTTGTCTCATGGGGTTGGGGAGGCACATGCCATGAGATCCCAGAAAAATGTGGTATGCATATAGAAGGTGATATTCATATCTCGTGTTGTCAAAATGAGAGGTGTATGTGAACATGTGTCGCCATGTGAGGGAACTTCTCATTAAATTGTTTGGCAAATAGGCTTGCAGGCTGAGCTCTGGCCCTGGTAGCTCCATCAAATTCCTGAGATCCAGGCCTTTTGTTCCTGTCTCAAGTGGGCGGGGTCCACTGAGAGACAAAGACTCATCCAGTATTTCTGCAGGTCAGTCAAGTTTCAGCATGTAATAGAAACAAGTCTAGGAGCTGTGCATCTGATGTACGCGGGGAACAGCCTGCGTGTGAGGAAAAAGCCAGAGAAGCCAAGAAACCCACAGAGGAAGGAAAGCTCTAAATAATGGATTTTTCTAGGTCACTGGGAATCAGACCTTTGTTCTCCTTCCTGCGACTGGAAGGAGTGGCCTCATTGGGAGAGATTCCCACTGCATCTTTAGAGGCAAGCATACACGTGCCCTGTAGGCTTAGGACTAATCAATTTAGAAAAATGCAACGAGGTTTGTCATAGGCCTTGCATTTAATTCTGTATTCCTTTTCATTAGCATTCAGTAAATGAATGTTAAACTGTCAGCTTGGGTAGATGCTGGTAGGTACATAAACATATGCATAGGATATACCTTTCCCCCAAACCTGCCCCCTGGGACTTTCAACTAATTGTTGAAGTAATAACCAGCTTTATCAGAAAAAGGGTAAAAACTATCATTTATACTATACTTTAAAATAGAGGGGCGCCTGGGTGGCTCAGTCGATAAGCGTCTGCCTTCGGCTCAGGTCACGATCCCAGGGTCCTGGGATCAAGCCCCACATTGGGCTCCCTGCTCAGCGGGAAGCCTGCTTCTCCCTCACCCTCTGCTTGCCTCTCTGCCTACTTGTGCTCTCCCTCTCTCTCTCTTTGTCAAATAAATAAAGAAAATCTTAAAAAATAAAATAAAATAGACTTTGGTATGTCATGCCCACATTTAACATGTATGTATGTGTGTTTAATTTATTGATTCAAAATAAATCTTTGTATATTTATATCTGTATTAAATAGAAAAAAAAGACCCAAAGTGGGCTGTACATGAAATGTTAATAGCAATGAAAATACACATTATTTTTCATTATTTTTGTGTCTTCCTCAAAGGACATGTGTTTATATGACCATGTGACAACAACACATTAAACTTTTGAAGCCTCCCAAGTATTTGTATACGTGCTCTCTCATATGATCCTCACAAGCACTCCGTGAGGTAGGTCAGTAATAAACAGCAAGGTGGTAGGTGAGAGAAATGGAGGAGACAGATAACAACTCAGGTGCCCAGGATGTTACATGCAGTGAGGTTACATGATGTGTACGGCCGGTGCCAAAGCCAGGAAAAAGGAAGGCGAATCAGTAGTGCTTTAATGAAGGAGAATGGTTTAGGGCAGAGGGTGGCTTTTGATTTCAGTCTGGCTCGCTAAGCCAAGGCCAGGTTCAGTTTTTATTAACTCAGAGGCAGGGGGCACAGTAGTCACATTTGGGTGTGAGACCGGAGAGTGTGAGTTTGATTTCCAGCTCTGGGACTGCCTGGCTGTTTAACCTGGAGAGCTCTGGGACTGCCTGGCTGTTTAACCTGGAGAGTCATTTTGACTCAGGGCCTTAATTTAGTTATGTATAAAATGAAGCAAATACTACTGGCTATTGTAAGGATAAAATGAGTTCATATGCAAGAGCCTTTAAAAGTGTATAGGGCGGTCTTGAGCTAAATAACTTTTTAATTGGTTAAGTAAATAACAGATTGTGGAGAAAAACCCTAAAAAAAAATAAGAGTGTGGGCGTAGGGATGTCTGAGCAAATACTAACATCATCATCTTCATCCTCATCGGTACAGGGCTGATGAAGAGGATGATGGGGTGACAGGGTACCTATGGCTCTTAGGGAGGCAAGCACCTTATCCTACTGCAGACAGCAGCAACTTTTAATCTCATAGGGTCTGGGATGAGGGAAGGAAGGAAGTTAGGTCCTTATAAATATATCTAACATGAATCTTTCAATGATAATATTATCATTTTGAGATGCATAAACATGGGCCGGGTTAAGGATAGATGATGTTTCTCGGTCAGAAATGTACAGATGCATACCAAATGTATGTAGATGTATACTGCAAAATGCTGGTAACTGTAGGTCAGAGATATAAAAGAATTATAAAGTTAATATAATAATATGAGAGAGTTTGTGCGGTATCATTGGATTGTTCAGCAACCTGTTTAAATGTATACCAGTCTCTCCCTGCTTTCTCTAAGTGTTTGGAATCTGTGTGTACCCTTAGCTGTTCTATTTGATTTTACAGTGTTGTAAGGCAAGTGATTGCTGTCAAATTAAGAATGATTGTTTTGTCTTTAAAAGACCTTGACCATGAGTTGGGGAGTGGAGTGTGCTGTGAGGGTTAATTCCCTCAGGCCTGGAATTAGTCTGGGCTGTTCTACTGAAATCAGTATACCTGCCTGATTACTTAACCACTGGTCATCAAAGCATGAAAGGATTGATTGATAATGTTGCTTTGCAACGTTGGGTTGGAGGAGTTTCAGAGTAGTTTGCACCAACTGTCAGCATTGTTTATTGATAATAGTGAGATTGATGATTTGCATCCAGTCTAAGTGAGACCCCTAAAAGGCTCTGCTGCAGAGGCTGGTTACATAGTAGGAAGGTGTCCATGTAACCAGTAAAATACAAAAAACACCAGTGGGGACTCTCTCGCAGAAGTAGCCTGAAATACTACTGATGTGAGAAACAAAGGCAGAAGAAAAAATACTAAATTTCCTTACTACCTACAGCCCACTGACAAGTCCTTGAAACAGGCAGAGTGGCAATTCCTCTAGGGACTCAACTGCCCTGATGTTGACACTTTGCTAAGGGCAAAAGGCAATCCTAGCCCAGTTCCCCCCGCCCCCCCCAGGATCCTGTAATCCTACTTTAACATATAAAAATTCTTTTGGAAACTTCCTTGTGTTGGCAATCATCCCTCAAGCATATGGTCCACCGATATACATCTGAAGGGTCTCATGACTAAGGTTTTATTAGACGGTAATAAATGACCTTTTCCCAACAACAGCTAGCCCCCTCGAGGTCCTGGAAGCCTTGCTTCTAAAATTCCTTAGAGACTTACGCTATCCCTAACCCCCTCCCAACTTGAAGGTATATCGTGGGCCGCTCCTCATGACCCCAGTGCAGCTCCTCCTGCCCACAGGTCCTGTTCCCGTGCTTTAATAAAACCACCCCTTTGCACCAAAGACATCTCAAGAATTCTTTCTTGGCGGTAGGCTTTGGCCCCTAACGTCTTCCTACGTCACTACCAGTGAGTTTAGAAGATTACCCAGAGAGCATGTATAATGGCATATTAATTGCTTTAATATCCTAATTCTAGTTAAAGTCCTTCAGTTCTCATACAGGTAGATTATTGAAATCCCAAATATTGGGGACAAGCATCTGTCAAAAGCATCTCTTATCCTGCTTCATTTCCAAAACATGTAAAATGCGTTTGTCATTTTTTTCAGACCCCCTGGTTGTGGAATACAAGGCACTGCTGGTACAACTACCCGTATCAGGTAAGGAGACATTACCATCTGGGTCTTTTACACACGCAGAGTATCTTCCTTAGGTCAGGGTCATGGTTTTAGGCCCCTGCCCCCACCCCTGCTGCGTGATGCAGACTTAGCCTAGTTAAGGGAAGTAGCTTGTGTTCTCAGTGAAGTTCAGAAACAAAGCTCAATTGCTTTAGCAAATGGAATAAGCTGGAAGGTGCATTTGCTGAAGAGTAAGATACAGTCAGTTCAATAGTTGGGTGATTCCTGTTTCTTACAGCTGATCTACGTCTAGATTACTGCAGAGAGCCTGAAGACCTGAAACCAGCAAGGGTCTCTCTGGACAGCAAGCGGGTTAAGCTCAAGTGTAGGGCTGTGGCAGACAGGCAGAGTTCAGGCCACTTTGTGGCTTAAGAGCAACCTCTAAATATGTATATCAAGTACCATTTCCTTGAGCATGGAAAAAGGGGCTTGTATCATTACACTAGATTTAAAACCATCATCAAAAATGAGATGAAAATTATATCCCAGAAAGGGAGCATTTCAGATCCCCACCCCCGACATACCTTTGCCTCTGTCCATGAATTCAATAATATTAGCATGTGTTATGTTCCTCAGATCAGTTACTATCTGAATATCGTAGCTGGGTCTTTTCTAGTAATTTCTTAACTGAAAATTTTATAGAATTTCTAGTTTAATTGGAATATATTACATAAGAAACTCAAATGCAGCAATGTATTTTGGTGATAAAATAAAGAGACATACATTATGATAGGCACCTTGGATTTTTTACTTTGACTGCCAGTCCTTGGGTTGTCTTTTTGGAGGCATTTGGTCTTTTTGGTATGCCTAAAGTTACTGGGGAGCAAGCATGCTCTGTGTCTTCTCTGTTACACTCAGTGTTGCAACAGGCTAGGGACTGGTTTTGGAAACTCCTTGGGCTGGTTCAGGGCTAGGGACACATTGAAATGGAGTTCCAGTTTGCATTTCCATCTCTTTCATGTAGTTTATTCAGATTAGAAAAGAATGTAAACAAGCAATATGACATGGTTAGAGAAAGCTGAGCTTTCCAGGGCTTTCTGATGGAGACTGAAGCAACGTTGAAACCAATCACTTACCGTGCACAACTGCAATTCTCAGGCTCAACTGCTGTTTTACTATCTTAAATACTTGGGATATTGTCATTACACCTCTCTTCGTGTCCTGTAATGGTATACTGAGTGGAAAAATCCGAATATAGCTAGAATTCTATTTATAGAAGTATGTCAAAGCCTTCTAGAAACTGTGACTCACGTTGATGTGGTAGCCGCCCTAATGCACTGCATTTATGAGGTAAATTCTGTCATATGAACAACACTGAGACAGATGTTACAGGAAATGTAATACTCACTCTTCCTTATAACGATAACATAGTCTGAAATAACTTTCACATTTATGGCTGGAGCTAAGGAATTGCTTTTTTCTGAGATAATTAGTTGCTGGGGCAGTGGCCCAAAATTGTAGTTGCTGACTGTTTCACAGACAAAACAAGAGATTTAACATGAAATTTTGAGGGTCTGGTACATAGTTATGTTTAAAAATAAGAAACATTGGGGGGCGCCTGGGTGGCTCAGTTGGTTAAGCGACTGCCTTCGGCTTAGGTCATGATCCTGGAGTCCCGGGATCGAGTCCCACATCCGGCTCCCTGCTCAGCAGGGAGTCTGCTTCCCCCTCTGACCCTCTTCCCTCTCATGCTCTCTATCTCTCATTCTCTCTCTCTCAAATAAATAAATAAAATCTTTAAATAAAAAAATAAATAAAATAAAAATAAGAAACATTGGGACGCCTGCCTGACTCGGTAGAGCACGTGACTCTTGATTTCGGGGTTGTAAGTTTGAGTCCCACATTGGTTATAGAGAGTACTTAAAAATAAAATAAAATAAAATAAAATAAAATAAAATAAAATAAAATAATCTCTAAAAAATAATAAAATAGGGGTGCCTGGGTGGCTCAGTCGGTTAAGCGTCTGCCTTCGGCTCAGGTAATGATCCCGGGGTCCTGGGATCGAGCCCCGCATCAGGCTCCCTGCTCCACGGGGAGCCTGCTTCTCCCTCTGCCTTTCTCCCTGCTCATGCTCTGTCTCTCTCTTTCCCTCTCTCTCTCGCTCTCGCTCTGCGCTCTCTCTCTCTCGAATAAATAAATAAAGTCTTTAAAAAATAATAAAATAAAAATAAGAAACATCATTAGAATAGAAGGAAAGATACTGCGTGTGGGGATTCAGATCAAGATTGTCTTCTGCTGATAAGACATCATTGCTTATAAATGAATAATTTGGCATTAGCCCCAAAAATCTAGGACCAATTCATAATCTCTTATAGGAATAGTGGTCATCTTTGATAAACTCTGTATTCTAATAAAAAAAATCAGCTCTTTCTTTTTGTATGTGTGGGAAAAAAACAGCATGTAATTAAAGTGCATTGTGGGTAGCTATGTCTCCATAAATATATAGATTATAGTTCAGAGTCAGTCTCAGGCCTTAAGGGTACTTTTAAAGACAGATCATGCTGATGAAGTATATTTATTATATCTTTAGCATGTATATTAAATAATTGGACGTATATTTAGATGAGAATAGTGGTCTGTTGCAATTTTATTAAGGGCACACTGCTCCTTGTGTATAAGTATATATGTAATTTATTGTATGATGATTTTTATGTACATGTGTATATTTTAAGTTTAGAATAATGGAAAGTGGTCTTTAGTTGGGCCTGTTTAGTTTGTCATAAAGAGCCCAAGTTGGGAATGAGAAGCCTTAACATGGTAGTTACAGAAGCCTCACTAGCTGGAAGACCTGTGATTGACCTTTCAACCCAAACTAACTGATGGCAATTGCCTATCAGCTATACCATCTAGAAAATGATGGTATTTTGTAGGATTTTTATGAGAGTCAAAGAAATTAACATGCAGGTAAGCTTTGTCAGCTGCAGAGCACTCCATGAATATGGTAGTTTTGTAGTATGATGATGCTCTCTCATGAACACTGTGGTTTCTAGATGTACTCTCACTTGCCTTCATAGGCTTCCGTGGCTTTTCCCAGGTGGTGGTGCCAGAACTCTCATTAAAACTGAAATTTAACCTTGGCTCCAAGGGTCCTGAAGCCAGTGCCCTATTTTCTAGATTCATTGCTGCCATATGTCCAACCTGAATACCCATCCCTTATTGCTAATGCCTGCAAATTTTAAAAGGACAATTCAGTGGAAAATATATTCTCTCCAGGGTGATGCTGAGTTTGATAAACATACTGATGCTCATTGTCTCTCAGAGCTTGGGATGGCTGGTGAGACCGTATCCTGTCCCCTCACTGTTGCCAAAGATCAGTGGGAGGGACAACTGTTTTCTTTAGCGCCAATGCATAAAGTTGGTAGAATTAGTAGTTAAGTGAGTGCCAGCTTCTCATGAAAGTAATTTGTTATGCTGCTGTTGGTTCACGGAACATTATAGTTTCCATTGTAGTTACTGTGTATACTGTTACATTGTGGGTAGCATGGAGGTGATGCATTTCAAAGGTCTTTCATTCGTTCTAGTAAAGTAAGACGTTTCATTATAGTTCAGTAAACAAAATAAATATTCCTGACTTCTACTGCCTCTCTGAGCCTCTCCCCATTCCTGGACCTCTGAAGCAGATAGAGCATGTGTCACCTCCATTTTACAATAAATAAATTAAGGCCCAAATTTTATACCTTCTGAGCTATGGAGCTGAGAGACTTGATCTCAGATTTCCTGGCTGGGGGCCTAGCCTGGTATTTCTTGGCAGCTTCCTTGTCCCCGTGTCTTTTAATAAATATTTTTGAATTATCTTTTCTGGTATTTGCAATGTACAGAACATTTCCTAATAACAGGAAAGCTCTGATTAATGCAGAACTTAAAACTCTGCCTCTGTGACCCATCTGGCACCCCCGTTTCTATCACCTACCTCCCTTGCCCCTGTACGATGGAGTCTCCCGGCACTTTCCAGGGTTATTCTTTTTGTGTATGTGTTTTGTTTTGTTTTTTTCCAGGTTGCTGAGGAATCTTACAGATACTTATCTCAAGGAAGCATCATAAATCCTGTTGTTAAAATAAAGAGTGACTTGGGTACCAAATGTTCATACTCACTGACACTTTTTTGGTTGGGGATAAAACAAAACTTAATGCCATCAAGCTGCGGATTAGAGGCATGCTTCAAAGCCCTTCTTCTCCACAGAGAGAATGGGGCTGGAATCTGTAGAGGCGTAAGACCGTGTCACTTTTCAGCCCTGAGCTTGAGATGTTTGGGACACTAATTGGTTTCCTATTAACTGTTAATCTTTCCTTTTTTTTCTTTGATCCTCAGCCACTCACAACTGACCTTCACTACTATTATATCCTGGAGCTGTCGTTTTATTGGTCTTTAATGTTTTCGCAGTTCACTGATATCAAAAGAAAGGTAAGAGTGGTTGTGTGGTAAAAAGTGCTTGCAGGTGTGTGTCCTTAATGGCCCTTGGCAGATGGGTGTGGAGTCTCAGGGGCACTCACTTCTGTTCTCTGGCTGTGCTAGCTTAGTACTACTTTCTGTATTCCCACAGAAAGTCTATTTTGTTGGTGGGGCTTTATATTTTGTTCACATTGGCTCTTCCCTCCTGCCTCCAAACCTAGTGTTCTTTTCTCTGTGAAAAAAATGTATCCATGAATCCAAACAACAGCAATTTTCTCTCAGTCTGATTCACAAGGCCCTCTGTTCCTCAAATTAAATAAAGAAGAAAAATTGTATTTGTAGCCCCTGGGAGAGAGTAAATTCTCAGTGTCCCAGCCCCACGAATGAGTTTTTCCTTAATTAGAATTATCTAACATCCAGATACATCGTGCAAATACAACTCTGCTACATGAACTGTGATCAGCCTCCACCTGTCCCCTTCACTGGACTGGCTTTTGCTGGGGGTGCTCTTGAACTCCTCAAACCCACCCCTTCCAGCTCTCATCCTACCAGCTTCTGGGAAGAATAGGCACTTCTGGCTACTTACTGCTTAAAATTTTTCCATCATACCATTTTCTCCAGATTCCCACATTTGGATCATTCCTTCAAAATCGTCTTTGCTGGCCTCCAGCCTCCAGCCTAGTGCCTCATGTGCTGCTCATTTGTGTGCCCATGGTCTAGTTCTAGATGACAGAACATCATCTCCTGGGATGATCAAGCTTATAACCTTTAGCACTACCAACCATAACTCATGTGCCAAGAGCTCCCAAATGTTTCTCTCCGGCCCTGGGTTCTCTCCAGGTCTGTACTTCCACAAATCTAGGCGTAAGTAATAGTAATATGTTCTTTGTATTTGTTTTATCACTTAATCCTCCCATCAACTCCAAAATCCAGTTGGATCATTTATTCCTTATCCTCATTTTATGAATGAGGAAACTGAATTTTACATGCAAAGTATTTCTAACTGAAGACATGATCATCCCCTAGTCTTGTGCTTCCTCCGGTAATCCTTGTAACCGACAGTCACATGAGCTAGGATTTTTCCTTTGCTCTCCCCTTTGCTTTTCCTTATACTTGAACCCTTAATGTCATGGACACATTTAGTTGAAGTCATCTCTACTTTTTCTTAATCTACTGCAATAGCTTTTTAAATGGTCCTCCTATCTGAATAGCCATTCTTGCCTACCTGACACCTAAGTGTTAGATTTCTAAAACCTTCAAGACAAAGCCAGACTCCTTGGAGTACTATTCAGGGTTGTTAACATGATTCAGAGCTACTTCTCCAGTTTCATCCCCCGCCTCCCCCACCCCGGCCTCCCCCTCTGACACACACATACGTCTTAGCAAGAGTATCTTCTCATCATTGTTCAGACATAATTTTTTTTTTTCATGCAGCTTTGTTTTTTTATAAGACCTTACCTTGGCTAGAATATATCCTATTTCCCTCCTCCCAAACCTGACCTAGTCCAAAAGTAGTCTCTTCTTTGAAGGCTAATTCAATTCCTCTGGGATTTTTGACCACTCCTTCTTATGGGTTTAGTTTACAAGTGCCCCAGGTATACATATGCTATTTTTTAACTGTATTGGTAGCCCCTGGGAGAGAGTAAGCTCTCAGTGTCCCAGCCCCACGAATGAGTTTTTCCTTAATTAGAGTTATCTAACATCAAAATACATCGTCAAAGTATAACATTCCTAAATGAACTCTGTGACCTGGTCGCCTGCCTCTGTCCCTTCCCTAGGCTTGAAGGGCAAAAGAGCAAGATATGTTTATCTTTGTACCATGGCCATCAATGCACCTGCTGGTGATGGGGATCAGTAAGTTTAGGGTGAGTGAATAAATGAACTAATCAGAATGTCTTCTGACTTACTAATGGATATCTTCCAAACTCCTCTGGAAACAGAACTATGTATTGTCAAGGAGCACAGTACCGGAACACTGTATTGTCAAGGAGCACAGTACCGGAACACTGTAACTTCCTTGGTTAGATTGTAAGCTGCTAAATTGCAAAGTGGTATCCAAGTGGCTCCGGAGGAACACGTATGAGTCTGTGGCCCTAGTACCTGCAGCCCCTTTCCCCAGGGGCATGCCTGCCACTCTCCTCCAGCAGAGGCTCTCTTGACCAGCACAAAGCTGGCTTTCCTTACCTTGTGTGGCTGCACACCCTGCATGAGATGTCTGTTGTTTGATTCTCAGAAGGGGATGGTCCCTCTGAGGGCTAGAGCTTGGCAGAGCAGATAACTCATTGACAACTATCATTTGCGGTTCCTTCCTCATTGTACCATGCTGAGTCACTTTCTGGTAATGTTTAAAGGTCCCTTGGTGGTGGTAGGCCAATCAGATTAGATCTCATCTGTCTTACGTGAAGAGTCTTCTTCATTCCTGTACCTAGTGCTTGTAGACTGATCATGTCCTCTGTGCTAGGCACAGTGCTAGGCTTATTGTGCATTTTACTTATTACCTTTAATTGGTAAAAATACAAAACATAAAATTGTACCATCTTAACCATTTGAAGTGTGCAGTTCAGAACTATTACACACATTCACATTGTTGTGCAACAACTCTTTCCATCTTGCACAACTGAAACTCTGTACCCATGAAACAGTAATTCCCCCATTGTCCCCTCCCCTGGCCCCTGGCTGCCACCATTCTGCTCTCTGTCTCTTTGAATTTGACTACTCTAGGTACCTCATATAAGTGGAATCATACAATATTTGTCATTTTGTGGCTGGCTTATCTCACTTAGCATAATATCGTCAGGATCATCCGTGCTGTAGCCTGTGTCAGAATGTCCTTCCTTTATAAGACTGAGTAATATGCATTTTGTTTTCTTTTGAGGAGCTCTTTTTTCCAGGTAGCTACAGAAAAAACTTGCAGAAAAAAGGAGGTTTGAATATTTTCCCATTTTGTAGCTGGGAAAATTGATATACAGTGAGTCTATGTAAAATTTTCAAGGTTGTGCTGTGTGGGAATGAATTAGAGCCCAAATTTACCCAGCAAGTTTCTGTGATTCAGTCTGAGATTAGACTTGTAAACAATTCTTGCATTATCTTGCCTTGCCATGCTCCTGACATTAGAGGTAGTAGCCTTTTGCAGCTCTCTGCCATTTTATTGGTTTCTCTTTTGCTTAGTGAGAATTAGGTGTGCCAGCTAGAGTCAAATAGATTAATAAAAGCAAGACTATAACTGTACTAGGCTCCTAGGAGCCTAGTCCCAGCGAGACATTGCTCTACCCAAAGTCACCAAACCCCTTCCATTTGCTTGAACTTTCTCAACGTGCATTTAACGTGTGTTTTCTGTGAGCCAAGAGGACTCATAGAGTCTTCATTGTTTTAAGTCAAGTGACCATTATCTAAAAGTTATCATAAGGGGATGGTTTTCAAGGTTGAAATATACCATTTTGTATGGTTTTAATATATCTTGCATCAGTGTGGAAACCACCTATGTATGAAGAGGGTAATTTTACAGTGAAGTTCATGGAATTGATCTCAGGCCTGTACATATTGTCAGTGTTTAGCAGTGAAGTCTCCCTTTTTTTTTTCTTAGTCGACACCAATGGCTTGTTTCAGACCTCTGGCACCTCTCCCTTCTTCAGCTGGTCAGAGTCCCTCTGGACATTCTTGGTGCAGTTGGTTTATTCTTCCTTCTTGCACAGAATGCGAAGTTAGCCACTGCCAAACCTGTGTATTACTCAGCACAGGTTTTAATGAGGAAGGCCTTTTTCTCTCTTGCCATTTCTCTTTAGTGAATCATAGCTCTCACTTTTCTCCTTTGCATCTTGCTGACTGTCACTGCAGGTCCTTCATTGTGCCTTCTCCCTTGCTCTAGTGCTTAGAGGATCTGCCCTTCCATCCATCAGTGAGGATTAATCCAATATCCTGGCTGCCAAATACATTCTCTGTCTTGTATTAGCACTACCGGCTATTAACTAAACCCTGTAACAACAGCCTGCCTCCTCATTATGAAATAGAGCTGTTTGAAGACACCCATTGACAACACAGTATGGAAGGCTTTTCATAGGGTTATGAATAGAAAGTTATAAAGAATGTTTCTTTAGTTTCCCTATTAAATGACAATGAACTTGAATGGCCATTTCACGTAGGGGCCAGGATTTATAAACATTGAATCTGAATGCATACCTCAGACTGTTAAAATCAATAACTGAAGTGAGGTTTAGAAATCATTTTCTGTGACTTAATGAGTTTATAAGTCTTTCTAAAATGGCCTTTATATTCATAAATGCTTTTTCTCTAGGAGTGTCCTCCTATTGCCAACCTTTTTTTTTTCCTTAGTTATTCTGTTTCCAAATAGAATCTGGTGTTTAAAATGCCTCTCTTGATCCTTTCCAGGGTTGGTACTTATTGGGTGAGTGATGAGATACTTTATTATTAACCTTCCTGGAACGAAAGGACAAGCCCGGATGTAGTCATTTGGTATAATGGAGTTATAATTTAGATATTCTATTATGTGCTACCATGATATTTTGAGGATTTTACCTTACTTACCTTTTTCTTTCTTCCCTTCATTGGTCTCTCCTTCCCTTCCTTCCTATTTTCCTTCCTTCTTCTATAAGAACAAAATTGTTAAGGTATCTTATTAAAACAACGGGTATATTCTCAGTATTCACCATTATTGGAAACAACTTTTATATCCCAAGGCTTAATTTTTATTAAAATTCTGTTCTTTAGCACCTGTTCACAATGAGTTTTTCTTCTGCACATCTAAATTTTCCAAGAGAAACTAATAAATGTGTTGGAGCTCAGAACAGCTTGCTCGCGTCTAAGCCCTATGTCCCTTTTAACTAAGCTGCTGTTTGGCTTGAAAGCCTGGGCCCTTGGCCAATAAGTGCAGCTTGTGTTCGGAGTCCTTGTAGGAAATCATCCATGGCCAAGTTCCAGGGCCCAGCTGGTGAAATCAGCTTGTTGCTCTTTTGGTCTTTAACCTGAGAGAAAAACTACATCCTGGAAAAGATTCC